TTGCTTCAGTTTTCCAATAAACAGTTTTAAAATTACTTTATTGATGCTTCTTTAATGAAAAATCTACAACAAACAAAAGAAAAAGACAAAGAAGCTACTAGTTTCCTGTTCCCCGTGCTTTTGTTTCCCGTCAGTCCGTCATGTACCCAGAATGCGTTGCTTCAGTTTTCCAATGAACAGTTTTAAAATTACTTTATTGGTGCTTCTTTAATGATAAATCTACAACAAACAAAAGAAAAAGACAAAGAAGCAGCCGAACTAGCAATCCTCATTAACTTTTTAAAGAAGCAGCCGAACTAGCAAGCATTAACAACGTTTTAATTTTTACACCATGAGCCAAAGTTCTGTAACAGGAAATCACATCCCCAGCAATCGGTAGTTTTAGGATTAAGCTGTACAAGGGTTCAAACACTGTTAGTTGGCAGTATTGTGCATATTGTACATAAATTGTCAGCTATTAAGTGTCAAATTGAACTTGTGCTTTAAAATTAGCTTCTGCTAACTTTTCTGTGACTTAAGCATTTATGAAGTTGTGGACCTAAATATTTTCATAAGTGTTTTAAAGGTTGTGGAGCTAATTTTTGAATTAGCGCTGCCCACTGATTAACTTGTTTGTGTTTGTCAGTAATTTTATCAGTTAAATACAGAAAAAAATTAATATTACTCATCTTATTTTTAACCAAAAATAAATAAAAACACTAATTTTTTACACTTGTCAGTACTTGTTCCTGATCAGAAAATTTAATAACCAAAACATGCATGAAGCACAAAGAAGTTTCACCTCATCAATAGTCTTTCAGAAAGACTTCTTCTTCTTCTTCTTCATCCTGTTTGTTACAGCGCTGCAGAGGTGCTACGTTCGGGTTGTTTCCTGTGTGAATAAAACATTTCTACAAACACTGAAAACTATCAATTATGAAAGACAGCGTTCCGTGTTGAGGGGGTGGGGCCTCTCAGGCTGTATTAAACAGTAGCATCAATATAAAGCAGCTTTGTGGATCCTCAGTAACAGTGACTGATGTCTGCAGGTAACATCAGTGCTGTGCAGTTCTCTCTGGTAAACGTGAACAAAACCACCGTCATCATCAACATCACAGATCCTGTGACCTCCTTCCATCACCAAGGGAAGCAGTCCACCATCAGAGACGTTCTCAAAAAGGACCTCAAGTACAAGATCCTCTACTACAAGGCTGGAAGCACCAGAGAGGCAAGCTGTAAAATGAAATGTTTGTTTGTTGCATTAAATATCTCTTTAGCAGTGGATTATTATAGAAGACTCAAAGTCATCATGAGGTGAACTTCTATAATTTGGACTCGCATCAATTCAGGGTGGCAGCCATAGCTGATTAAACTTAGCGAACACACAAATACCTTTAGGTCAGAAAGTTTTACAGAAACTGAGCTGAAGTTGGGTGCTGTGGTAGTAGCTGAGACTGACCCTGAACATGCATTCCCAAGGTTTGACCCAAACAGCTAAAACTTTGTTTCGCAATATAAAATTATGTGTTTTTTACATATATTTACAGCGGGTAAAATAAGTATTGAACACGTCAACATTTTTCTCAGTAAATATACAGTATTACTAGAGGTGCTAATGACATGAAATTTTCACCAGATGTCGGTAAC